ACAAGTGAACTAACTTAAAATGAAGTAGTGCGATATGGTTACACAAATATCAATTTAATATGAAAATGATTTTCATCTGCGATTGCTATATGAAAGTTGTAATCGAATATGCTTGATAAATAGATGCGCAGTAACGTTAGATATCATGTATCCCGAGATCATGTAATTTATTCTCGAATTTTCCTGCATATTCTCAAAGTTTCGCAACAAAGAAGATCTCCTTGTTGATCTTTTTATATGGGTAGCATCAAAGTTTTTATTATGAATCCGTTGATCGGATTTTCGTGATGTGATCATATTAACGTAATTTTCCCCTTCCCAAAAAGCTATTCCAAAATCGATCCTGCGAATTATATAATAAGGTGATGCCCTGATTAGTGAGTCTTTTTATCCGCCTTGTGCAAATATAAGTAAAAATCAAACGAAAATTATAATACAATTTCAAACTTACCGTTATTGCATATCACCGATATCATTAATCAAACGAACTCGTATATTGCGCAAAGTAATAATAAGGTGGGTTGGTTTATTATTCGGCTAGTTTCTTTAAACATGTCATCACGATGTTAATCAATTTTTCCGCCTCTATAGATGTTCCAAAATAATACAGACATATTACTCTTCTTGTTATATATTAGCATTTTGATCTTCACTGAGAAAATCTTTGACCATCATCACGCGTACAATAGACGCAGTGAAATTACTCACATGAATCTCGTCACATGTAACGGCATAGCAAAAGTCTGGTGCAATATATCAAAAAATAGGATCTTCACATGCCGAATTCTTGATGCTTAGCGCAGTATCGTACTAGTGATAAAAAAAAATCACATTTATTATAACGCATTAAGCAACAAATTTCTTGAATATGAGGCGAAGTGGAATGTTGTAAAAATTATTCGTAACGGTAAGAGTGAATCGAACGAAAGTCTTACCTTGTTTTATTTTTATCTCATTGCTAATTTTCGGAATTCTTCCTATAGGATCACTTAATCTCGGAGAAGTTTTCTTGCGAGGGGTATTATTTTATATTGTCTGTGTGGGTGGGAGTGATGTGTATAGGCGAAGATATGTGGATTATTTATTTTCGGAAATCTAGTGTAGAAAAAGAGCATTGGTATGAGAATCTCGTAATTAGCAATAGTAATAGTAAAAAAACAAATAGTATAGAAATTTATAAAAAGCCTGAGTAAAGAAATAACTTGATGCTGGGCATTAAATGGCCTAGGATCCGCGTACTCACTCCCTCTTCGATAGCATTATCTATTTCCACTCCATTTCCCGCAATATATCTAAAAAAATTAATAAAAATGTTATTTTCTTGGTAAAAAATATTGGACTTAAATATATCTGTATAGTAAAATGAACAGTTATAACGGAAAAGCCAAAGAGTCACCGCCAAAGTGGCAGTCGTGAAGCTCTTTGGAGGATAGTAAACTCAGTTTGCTCACCGCCAAAGTGGCAGTCATGAACAAACTGGCCTTTTCAATTTATGACAAGCAGGATCTCCGCCAAAGTGGCAGTCGAGACCTGGCTTGAGCAAAGTTTACATCCCAGAGACTCGCCGCCAAAGTGGCAGTCGCAAAGTACTCTGTCATTTTCCACCTTTCGAGTACCCGCCGCCAAAGTGGCAGTCGCAAAGTACTCTCTCATTTTTTACCTTCAGAATCTTCAGAATAGGGTGTCCAGGATGGGTTGGCGTGATGGTACAAAATTCGCGCGTGATTTTATCGCAAAAATCGCGATTATATCATGTGATCGACTAAATCACCCAATCAAATTTGAATGTCGACAAAATCGTAAAAAAATTGCCAAAATCGTGAAGTTTGTTTTAATTGGTTTAATATTTGTGATCTACATAAAATGTTACACCAAATCAAACCAATAAAAAGTCTAAA